TCCTCAGTTTCAGCAAGCAGGGTTGTGTCATCTGCATAACGCAGATTGTTAATAGATCTTCCACCAATCCTGATGCCTGAAAAAAAGTTTATGAAAGTAGATAGAGGAATATATAGACTATAAAGGAGAAAAGAAAACCAGGTGACAGGGCACAAAAGTGTAACTGATGAACCAAGGAGGAGAAAGTTTAAGGGCGCTAGGGTGGCCTAGTGGCATTCAGGTTTTTTAAATGAATGTATTTCTTGATTTTAGTTGGCAAAGAAACTGTCCTTAGTTTAACAATGACATTTAACGAATGTTACTCTTCCACTTAGGTCAAATCCTTTTTATGAGCCCAAACCGACACCTCCATCCAATAATTTGGTGAATCCAGCTCCAGAACTGGACACCGAAAAGAGAGTGAAGAGAAGGGCGCCTGCTCCACCGGTCAGCTCACCAAAGACAGGAGCAGGGAGTGAGAACACAGCCGTCACTCCAGGACGGGATCTCTCAGCTTCTCCCAAGGTAGGGTCATTATGACTATCTCAATGGAATGTTTATTTATGTATGGTTTTTAGTGAGGTGTTTTTGTTTGTCCTTGTTTTCTATTTTTACCGCATGTTTTATCATCTGTTCCTTATAACGTCACCATTAACTTCCACTGGTTCGTTATAAGATGTAAAATCAAAGTGCCTAATTAAATTGCTATGACTTATACTGTGGGTTTGAAGTCTGCTTGTGGTGCGGTACTTAAAGAGCTTGGCTGCTAACCAAAAGGTCAGAGGTTTGATCCGGCCAGCCACTCTGTGCTTCCCTGGAGATTTACAGCCTTGGGAGCCCTGTGGGGCAGCCTGCTCTTTCCTGTTGGGTCACTATAAAGCTGAATCTACTGGGTTTTCAGCTATATTTACGTTTAAAATTTTACTTTAATACCTTGTTCCTTCACACACATTTATATCTTGTAGAAGAAATTAGCATTATTTAATGGTAAAGGTTGGCCTGGAGGAAGAAGACTTGGGAAAACAGAAGTAGACAGACCATTGAGCATGTGCTCTCATTTTTACCTTTTTTTGTTTGTATTTTTGGACATGATGTTATCAGGTTTTCTTTTTTGGTCTGTTATACTAATTGAAGTTACTAGGTAATATTATCACGGACCTGGATTTTGGTACCTTCTTTGTATCATGTTGTTGTTGGTATGAACCTTCGAGTCAGAACTGACTCGCCAGTGGGTTTTCAGAGGCAGTTGATTGTACGGTAAGAGATTGCCCATCTTCCAGGAGCAGGTGGATTTGAACCCTGGCCCTTTGGATTGGCAGTGCAGCTCCTTGTAGCTAAGCCATCAGAAGGTAAAACGTGTTGTCTAGTCAGATCTGCATTTATAGCAGCCCCAGTGAACAGAGAAGAGCTGCCCCATATTTTACTCCTGTGGAGGGCTGGTAGATTCGAGCTTGTGACCTTTTGATTAACAGCCAAGCTTTAATCATTACAGTACCAGTACTGCATTTATACACAAGATAACATTTTAGAATAGAGCACTGCACCTTTAGGGTAGAGCAGTGGTATTAAACTGGTTTTGCCCTGCGGTTCCATCAAGTTCCTCCATGTTCTATACCACATCCCAGGTGTGCGTGCCTCGCCCAGAGCTCCGGACCCTCCCCCTTAGTGCACATGTACATGCACTGTATGTATATGAGAGTTGCTGTAGGAGTTCATCTGGAAGAAAGTGGACTGTTGCCAAAATTTAAACAAAAAAAGTTTTTGGAAACCACTTTACTACACAATTATGTGTGAGATAAGGTAGTAGATTAAAATCAGTAGCATACTGACAATCATAAAAATGATAAATGGCCACAGAGAAAGCAGATGAAACATTAACTGTAAAAGCACAGCGGTGTGAGGCTTATTCATCACAGGAATACACGTGTGCCTTTGCACTGCTCAAGTTTAATAACATAATTGATTGCTTTTAGACAACTTTAAGACTACATGAAAAAGGCAGATTATGTTCAGTATATATTCTACTTTGGAAAGCCCGAAAGAGTAAAACATTTTCATTAAAATTAGGAAAGGATTTTGATGCTTTAAAGGATATGTTTAAGTTACTTGTAAAATTTACTTTTTGAATTACCCACTTCCTTAGTACTAGATAAATGAGGTGCTACTCTATGTATCACCTGCTCCATTGGATAGTAGTCTTAGCTTTGGATAACAGAAACAAGCCTTTGGTGGTTTGTTTTTGGGTTTTTTTTTTTTTTATTATTTTTGTCTGTGTACCATCAAATTGGATCTGACTTGTACAGGAGTGGATTGCCCCTCCTTCTCCAGCAGAACATCTAGTGGATTCAGACTGTGTCCCTCTGGGATTGCAGTATAGCTTCTTGCCACTAGGCCACCAGAACTCCCTTTTTTTTTAAAAAATTTCTTACGTGGAAAGGATAGTTTATTATAAAGAAACAAAGATAAATTGCAGAATCAAAGACAGAGGGTACTGCTGTACATCAGGAAGAAATAGGAGTCCACCACCTGCATTGCTCTTGGTATGTGTGTGGACTCTCCTAGAATTGCCTTTTGAAGATTTTGTTGCTTAAATGAAGGTGCTTTACCGACACCCTAGATAAAGCATCAGCTGGAGCCAAAAGGCTCATTGGTTTGAACCCACCAATCATTCCACAGAAGCAAGATCGAGCTAGTCACCTTCACCAATGATTCCTGCCTGTGAAGGCCCGAGGGCCAGCTTTCCTCCGCCCTACAGTGTGACTTGAGTTGGAATCAACTTGGTGCCTGTGGTCTGGTGAACCTAATGTGTCTCTGGTTAATGGGATTTCACTTATAGTTGAGCTCATCCGTGGGCTGGAGGAAGCCTCAGATGATGGCTAAAGAGAAGTTTCTAAATAATGACTAAATACAAATGTCTGTCCTTAACACAGTGCAAGTCCAGGGCCCTCGCAAAGTCATTGGGCACTTAGTCCACAGTCCCCAGCACAGACTTCCATCCTGTGATTGCCCATAATGTGCTAGCCATAATGGTTACCCACAGTGAACAGTATTTGGTGGAGCTCCCACATTAAGACAGGCTTGGAAGCAGGAGTAGCATCCACTTCCTAAGCAACATGCCTCTGGAAACTCTATGAACTTAGAGAAATGACAATAGTTATAGAACTGGGTTCAGGTCTTTTGTTCCTCAGGCCACTATGAGTTGTTTTCAGCTCTGCACATAACAGCAACAACTACATATAGCAAAGTAAGCCAGAAAATGAACCATTATTCTGGATGATTGTAGAAGGCTGCTGACCCAGACATCTTTTTATTTATTTATTTTTTTCCAGACATCTTTTTAATCCACCAATGTACTCTGGAGAAAGTTGGGGCAGTCTGCTCCCTTTAAGATTATCTGCCTTGGAAACCTCAGGAGATGGGTCTAAGCTGTCCTTTAGCATTGCTAAGAGTCAGAATCACCTCGAGGGCAATGAATCTTTTGTGTTTCTTAAGAGTAAACACTTTTTGAAATATTGCACCTTGCCTCATGGTAGTTCTGGCGAACCTGTCAGGCAAATGTGCCACTGATGGGCTTTAGCCAACTGCAAGAACTAGCACCACAGAATACCTAGGAGAGTTTGCGTCTCGATGGGCCTCAGGTTGTTGAGTAGGGGAGGATACAAATAAGAAATTTTGTTTTAAAAAACAAAGTGTAATTGAAATACTTGTCCTTTAAAACAAATCTATAAAGTGATTGACTGTGATCTTACATGGTCGCGCTTTATAAAAGTATCTTTCGGAATAATAAAATGAAGGTACTACTGATCACAGGTTTTTGACTGAGAATTGAATTGTCTCTTTTACTAATAAAAGCGGAAGTGCTAGTGCCGGCCTAGCAAAAGAGCAGTCAGTTAAATTAGTTACATACTTTAATGATAACAAGTGACGCACACATTTACTTGCCAAGTACCATCTAATGGCTAAGCAGTCAAGAGCAGAGGTCCAAGGTGTGTTACTGCCACAGGTTGACAGGATTCTTTTAGGTTACATGATGGTTCAGGCTAAGGGAGCACTGATGAAGGTCCTTTTCACAACATGAATAAAAGAAACTTAACTGGAGTGTTTGAACACATGAACACACAAATCCTGCCCTCTACTCCCAGGTTTAAATGAGCTCTGAAAGGCAGAAACACAAAAATGAAATGACCCATAACAAGGTGCACAGTGTTACCAGGTCAAGAATGAGGAAGAGTGGAAACTGGGTGTAAAGTGTAAGTGTGTGCTTACTGTTGCGGTTGTGCTAACACATAGTAGGCACTTGTGTGGCTGGGTGACTCCATTTGTAGGGAGATATCCTGTCAACTCCAGAGGCCACACTTCTCTGCAGGTTTGAATCTACCAATATTTCCAGGAGACAAAGATAGTCAGTCCTGTGATTTAGAGCCTCAGAAATCTGCTGGATGGCCCGCTGGGAGTGAGCTGGTGGAACGGCACTGAGTTTCCATCCTAATTTTAACCAGTAGGTGCCTGTGCTTACAGAGACATCATTGTGTCCTCCATGAACTCCAAAGTACATGCCTCTTTAAATTTTGCAGAGAGGAAACTATCAAACCAATAAAGCCATCAGAGAAAATGACGAACTTCCACCAAAGCAAAAGAAAACAAAGTTTAAAAACTTCTAATAGATGAAACAGGAAAGGTAATCACACACTCAAAAAATACTCCTAGGCAAATTGTTAATGGTTCTTTATGGTTATTTATTTAGCTATGGTGTACCATATCTGCAGCGTTTTTGAAGGTTTGAAATTTTTCAAAATGAAGGGGAAAAAAAGAGAAATCATTAAATGATTCCAGAGTAGAAAAGAGTTATTATGAAAAACACAACTTTAAAGTTTTATAATTATAAACAGTCAAAAGCATATTGCAAAATATCAATTACTAAAATAGAAGACCGTTTTGAAAAATTATGTTTAAAATTCAAGGGGAAGACATGATGAGGAAAGAAAAGAAAATAGAAATAAGTATAAATCAAGAGAAAACATTTATGAAAGAATTAGTAGTAATAGTTCATAAGCTAGGAAAAGTCTTCAGTCTTTAGATAAAAGGGTTCATAGTTTCTAGGGAAGATGATTAAATGAGAGATCCACACATACCTACATTATCAACATTTTTTTCTTGGACTATTTTGAATTTCAAAGTCAAGTCACCTAGTATCAGATATGTTTGTAACATTAAGTACTAGAGATAATGGAGCATGTTAATAGATATATATACACACATATAGTTAGTCAGTTATATGTAGAAAACTCTGAAGACTGCAAAGAATTAGAACACATCAAATATATAAAAAGTAATGAGTTCATAATGATAATACCAACTGTCTGTAGTTGATGAAATACATTGAATGAAAGACTTTTGAGGCTTAATTAATAATTTGTAGTTCATAATTATTATACCAACTTCAAAATTAATTTTTAAAGCCCATATTCTTAGTTCTAAAGTAAATTTTTAGCAGATTTCAGAGGGTTATATTTTCTCTGTTCATA